TTTTTCACAAAAGATAACATATTTACTCAGAGTAAACATTACATCTAAAATTTGTATGTCTAATGCAAAATCTATGATGTTTATATTCAAAATGATCATCAAATTGTAAGAATTCCAGCAATGTAAATTATATTCTGGCCGGGTAATTTGTATGAATTTTATGAGCTAAAACAAATATCTTCAGTTAATAAAAAAAAAAATATTCTTCACGACACTATCTGTCAATCAAAGTACCCCACCTTGCCTCCCCCCTCTTCCAACGAGCCAGATGGTCAGTCCGTCCCAACCCTCCCCCCCACCTCCCACCAACCCTCCCTTCAAGAGAAAGAGTGGGTGAAAAAACTAGATTTTAACATTTAGTATTAAATAATACCTCAGATTAAAGTTAGGATAATATAATTGACATTGCTGGATTCCTTGTAAGACCAGGAATATTTTGAATATAAATGTCATATATTTTGCACAAAAGATAACATATTTACTCAGAGTAAACATTACTGTATATCTAAAAATTTTATGTCTAATGCAAAATATATGATGTTTATATTCAAAATGATCATCAAATTGTAAGAATTCCAGCAATGTAGATTATATTCTGGCCGGGTAGTTTGTATGAATTTTTTGATCTAAAATAAAAATCTTCAGTTAATAAAAAAAAAATATTCTTCACACATGCCAGGTGGTCGGTCTCCGGTCCCTCCCTCCCCCCCACCCCCCACCAACCGTCCCTACTAGATAAATGTGTGGGAATACCAGACTGTTTACCTTTTTAGTAATAAATAATAAATCAGACTAAAGTTAGGATAATATAATTGACATTGCTGGATTCCTTGTAAGACCCATATATTTTGCACAAAAGATAACATATTTACTCAAGAGTAAACATTATATCTAAAATTTGTATGTCTAATGCAAAATCTATGATGTTTATATTCAAAATGATCATCAAATTGTAAGAATTCCAGCAATGTAAATTATATTCTGGCCGGATAATTTGTATGAATTTTATGAGCCAAATAAAAAAAATTATACTTCACCGTGTAAAGGGGTACACCCACCGCGGAATGTGAGCATCCTGGGTTCTGGCAGGGCACTGCGTAAACGTGGAAACGCGGAATGTGGGACCGCGTAAAGTGAGGGTTGACTGTACTGTACTAATTTACTAAGTGTTGAAGACAGACATTGTGGTAACCTAATCAGCTGTTTGCCCTTTGTAAGCATTGACTCATGGTTTTTAGTATGGGATTCTTTTTTCAGGAAAGCTGATTCTTTTAGGATAATTATCTATCAACCTGGCACCAAATGAACCTAAATTATATGAGAATTATGGTGAAATTGCATTATGAAGTGTTAAAGGAATCTTGTGGGAGAGAGGGGGAGGGAGCCACCCACCTATGCTACCCTCCCACCCCTCTGCCAGCTGCTCCCAGATAAACATACCTCTCCCACATACAATATACTCCTACACTTATTTGTTCTCATTTTTATCTTTATAGTACAGTAAAAGTCCAAAAATCCGGATGCCAGAAATCTGTACCACCCGAGAATCCGGACTTTTCGAAAACTCAATCTTTTTTTTTTAGCTGGCTTTTGTGCGTATGTGCGCATGCGTGAGCGCCACAGCTGCGCAGCGACAACAAGCGACCACGCGTGGTCGCCACTTTAAAACGAGGAATCAAACTGTGACAACGTATGTAATTTTGAGTCCTACTCTTTCCATTTACAGAGTACTGTACAAGCCCATAATAATGGTTCCTAAAGAAGATAAACTTCGGTGTGTGAAGAGAAAGAAGAACACGTTGAAATTGAGTGACAAACTTGAAATAATTAAGAAACTAGAACGTGGTGTGAGAAGTACTGTTCTAATGGAAACATACGACATTGGAAAGTTTACAATTTATAATATAAAAAAGGCAAAGAATAAAATTCTAGAATTCACAGCTTTTTCTTTAAAACTGCTCGTTTTGATAAATGAAGAATGCTATATTTGCTAATGAATAAACTATCAAAATGTACCTGTTCATCTCTTCTTTATTCTTCCTTAAATTTTAATTTTAAAAGTACTGCCTGAGAATCCGTAAAATCCGAAAATCCGGACCGACCTAATCCCCAAGCAGTCCGGATTTTTGGACTTCTATTGTACTGTACAGTATACAGTTTTCTCTATTCATAAGACAAATTATGTGGTTACTTACATATAACACTTTACAGTAAATAACAATCATATCGGTGACAACCAGACTTACTTGTCTGATTTTCAACCCAGAGAGTTCTGTTTCATATGTATTTTTTCTTTTATTGTTAATGTAATATTGTTTTAATGACTTTGTTAGACACTTAAGACCTTAGTTGCTGAAGTGCAGTAATAACATAAAAATTTACGTTTAAACAGTTCAGATAAGCAGTGTTATCCTCCCCCTCCCCCCCCATCATGTTCGTTCTTTTTTGGACTCGCATTTTTTGGACTGCGGTCTGCCCCAATTAGTCCGATTTATGATGGTTCTACTGTAGTATTTTCTTTAAGGATCTTTTATTGAAACTTCTTGTAGAGAATTTATTCAGGATCATTGTTGTACCAAATTCATCTTTCAAACACAATTAGAACAAAGGCTGTGGATTAAAGTTTATACACTATTTCGCTAGGCGTAAATATTTTTGCTTGTGGCTGTAGCATAATGTAATTGGAGAGTGATAAGAGAATTGTACAAAGTAGAAGAGTATTTTATTTGGTATATATTATTACTGCATAATAATATTCCTATTGATAAAAAATATAAGCCCATAGTACATGTTAATAATGAAGTATTTTACAGTACTTATTGAGTATTTACTTATCATGAGTCCTTTCAGTCTTGAAGTGAGGATGTTGCTGAGGCAGGAAGTGGTTGTGCAACACTCATAATGTAGTACAGTACACCGCTGAACACTATTTACATTTCTTAGACACTTCACTTTATAATAAAAATATAATAATAATGGTTGCCCCTCGTGTAACGAGGATGGCCGGCCCAAGGGCCACCCAGGCGTGAATTTATTTAAGGTGTAGAAGCTGTCGCCAACACAACAACTACACCCTAAGTTAACGAACTGCATGACCCAGTGTTAAGGAATAGTCCGAGAAGACTGGACAACACTTTAAAGCTCTCGAGCAACCACCTCCTCCTCAGAGGCAACTGCTGAGTTACCCTCCTGTGCCACCACAGTGGCAGCCCCCGCTTACACGAACTTTCCCCTGTGCTAACTGGATTTTCGTCATATTTTTCCGGGTTGGGGATATATATGTCTGGTGCTGGACCTCAGTCCAGTTTGCAAGGGGATCTGGATTTAGGGAGTCCAGGTTAGAGAAAGTTTACTGTACTGTATGTGTAGTATTTGCTGTCTGACAGCAGGTAAGTCTCTGTAGCAGCAGTGTTCCCTGTGGGATGATTGGTTTTGACGTGGAAACTTTCACCAGTACAGTACCCAGAAAAATTCGTAATTGTGCGATTTTTCCAGCAAGGAAAATTCATCTCAATACTGTACTGTACCCGGAAATCTTTCAAACCTGGAAATGCTCTGCATCAGTTGTTCCGGCTAATGGGGAGATTACAGTATAGTCTGCATATACGCGGCTTTTGTTTACGCGTGTGGTCATTTACGCGGTGCCTTGCCAGAATGAAAATGCTTTAATTACGCGGTAAATTTGGTCATTTACGTGACGAGCGGCTGGAGAGGTCCAGACCGCCGCGCCATTTTTTACCCACGCTGTCCATTCTTGACCATACGCGGGAAGCGGCGCGGTGAGTGGTGCGCATTAGGCCGCTCTTACGTTATCGCTGACGTCATATGACGTATCGGACTGTGATTGGGCCACACATCCTTTCCTCCCTCCGCTGCTAGCTGTGATTGGTCTTATGTAACATGACGTGCCCTGCCACCAGAGGGTAGAAGTCGCTGACCTAGCAGGCCTGTCTCATTGTTCTCAGTCCACGAATACAGTTCTTTCGTGCCCGCTATTCCCCTCACAACTCACAATGGCTTCTGCGGGACCCCCACCACCAGAGAAAAACATTGAATTACCTGGACCAAGCCATGATAATGTGAAGGAAATCATCGAGTTGGGGGAGAAAATTAAGCTCATCCTTGACAACAACCCAGACAAGCATCGGTATGAAGCGTCAAAAAACCATCTGACAAAAGTTATGGAGCCGTATATCCAGATCTATCTCGACAACATCAATGTTAGTCGTCAACGTAGTATTGAGGACTTCCTCGCTCGCAACCCACCACAACCACAGCCAGCCCAAGTCAGTGATAGTGATATTGACAGTGAGGATATGGACTTTGAGGGGTTTGTCTGGGAGGCCCTGCAAACCTCTGCGGGTAGTGAAAGTGAAAGTGATTCACCGGAGGGCAACTAATCTGCCCTCTGCCTCGGAATCAGCCGCCATCCACGTGTGCCGACCCAGCTTTTCTACTAACGTAAGTGTTAAAAAACCTAATATTATTGATATTTCTCTTAATTATTAATTGTGTGTGCATACCATCATAAAATTAAGATGTTATTTTTGCTACAACATAAGTATTGTGTCGGAAAAAGTGGAGTTTGGGGGTCGGCCGATTCTCTATTTCAATTAATCCCATAAGTTCTGTTATTTCATTTACGTGTTTCTCGTTTTACGCGGGCCTCCACGGGTTCAATTGACCTCGTAAATGCAGACTATACTGTACTGTATCTGGTCCTCAAGACAGGTTTTTCCAATAAAAGCAAGTGGCTCTGATTTCATGTACTAAATAGAAGTAGAATATTCTTAGAAGGTTTTAAGAATTATCATAAAATCTTATTGACTTGAAAGTGTAAATGGTCATTGATAAAAAAAATTAAAAAGTGAGATTTTGTTTATGATTACCTCCATGGAATAAGTTCTGGAGAAAACCAAGGATCAGTGGCACCATTTACTATAGAAAATTAACTTTGGATATTTCCATATGCTTGTAATATCCTCATTGTTTTGTAACAGATTTCGACGTGAACTAAAACGATTAGAAGAGGAGGGTGAGAGACTTATTGAAGAAGAATTGACCCGAGTAAATAAGCAAGTTGAGGAGGAGTTATCTAGAGGTATGAGCAATAAAACTTTTAATATATCAGAACTGTTCATACATATTTATTTGTCTTATACCTTGTCACTTTTTTTCTCTGTATGAAGAAAATAATAGTCCTTAAGGCTTATTGCTTTTAAGACTTTTTTTTTTTTTATCAACACTTTATATTGTACAGTCTTACTGGACACTCCACTAACTTAGGTCTGTTCCTTCTCTTGCCTGGCACCCTGCTTACTCTTGCCTGGCACCCTGCTAACTCTTGCCTGGCACCTACTTCTCTTGCCTGGCACCCTGCTTACTCTTGCCTGGCACCCTGCTTACTCTTGCCTGGCACCCTTCTTTCTCTTGCCTGGCACCCTTCTTTCTCTTGCCTGGCACCCTTCTTTCTCTTGCCTGGCACCCTGCTTACTCTTGCCTGGCACCCTCTTTCTCTTGCCTGGCACCCTTCTTTCTCTTGCCTGGCACCCTTCTTTCTCTTGCCTGGCACCCTGCTTACTCTTGCCTGGCACCCTGCTTACTCTTGCCTGGCACCCTTCTTTCTCTTGCCTGGCACCCTTCTTTCTCTTGCCTGGCATCATGTTTTCTCTTGCCTGGCATCATGTTTTCTCTTGCTTGGCATCATGTTTTCTCTTACCTGGTACATCATGTTTTCTCCTGCTTGGCATCATGTTTTCTCTTACCTGGTACATCATGTTTTCTCTTGCTTGGCATCATGTTTTCTCTTACCTGGTACCTTTCTTTCCTTTGTTTGATAGCCCTCAATTTATTTTCTGGCACACCTAATTATTTTTATGTGGCATCCATTTCATTACGTACGCTTGTACTCTTTTAATATAATTTTTAATGTCTGTTGAATCATCTGGCTGTTTCTCTGTATTTTAAAATGTCAATGATGTGCACTGTGTATTATGGTACAGTATATTTTTTATTCTTATTAGTCAACACACTTGTTACAAAATATTCTTATCATGTTTACAATAGCTCAGATTAACTCTTCATATGTCATTTTCAGGTACAGCTAAAGTGTCCAAGAGTAAAGAAACACCATCCACAGACTCAAATGCACATAGGGTAAAAGTCAAGTGGGCAGCAACAGAGGACTGGCCGGGGTATACAGAGCAGGATATTCACCAGCTCTTCTTTAAGGTATTCTGATGGCTTCTCTCGTAGTATAATTCATAATATTACAGGGTATGTGTTTATCTTCTGTATCCGGTATTTTTTGAAGCCTTAAAAATTAAGAATGTGTTTTAAGTTTTTTTAAACATATGAAACCTTAGAGTTGGAAATACATAAGTGGAGAGTAATAGAGGAGTGACTGTAGCAAAGGAGTACCTTGAAGCTGTAGCAGAGGAATGAATAGAGACTGTAACAAAGAAATGACTGGAGATTGTAGCTGAGGAATGACTGAAGACTGTACCAGAGGATTTACTGGAGTCTGTAACAGGCTGACTAGAAACTGTAGCAATGACTGATAGCCATACCAGAGGAGTGAAGGAATACTTTGTATGATGAAGATGAAATTTGTTTAACTATGGTAGATTGAATGCAAATCACAAATCTCATCAGAGATCAAGAATCAATTTGGTAAATCAAATGCATATTTAGAAAAGGTTAAAGCTTGATGCAAATTTAGTGGGAAGGTGCAATCCTACTTTTGTCATGCATCCTGGATCTGTAGATAAAGCAGTGTGGATGTCTCGATTAATTTTCGTATGTTTTGCCTGCCATTAGTTCATGGTGAAAGGAGTATAGTTATTACATTTAAAAAATTTGTGTATTGTACTTGCTTATTTTGTGGTAATATCCCCCTCCCCACAGTATTTTTCTACCATTACAAGCCCTTTCTCACCATGTTGCAGAGTGGCTTGAATTAAAAATAAATTGGACTGCCCTCTCAATTTTTGCCCTTCATTCTTTCTAATTATCTTGTACAGGGGGCCCAATTATCTTGTTCAGGGGGTTCATGTTATCTGCGGTTAATTGGTACCGGAAAAACGCCTCCGATAACAAATTCACTTTAAGCGGGGAATTAATCCCATAAGAAATAATGGAAATAGGTTAAATTGGGAACATGACATTGTACATGACACTCCAAAAAAAAAATTATATTATATCTTTTAACAATTATTTACCTTAGAAACATTTGGTAAACATTTGATGACACATTATTTTAAGAAATTATTAACTTTATAAATTATGTAATGTCCTTAAAGCTCATTGGGTTCAGTGTGTTGAGGCAACGTAGATTGTGTCAGCGACCCGGTGGTCCGCAGCAACTGTTGCACACTCACTCCAGTGGTTCATTGAGACAAAATACTTAATATAATGTTTTACAAATAAATAATGCTAACATAATAAAATATTTTTATTTATTTAGCTTCAAAGGTAAAGATATGTGGCATGGTTGGCTTGATGGAGGTGGGTGTTGGCGGATGAAAAAGTAACAGGACTAGGTGGATTGTCCACTCCCACTCTTCTTTCACCTAATATCTTCTAATTTTACATCTATACTATAGTTAGTGTTCTTTCTTTTGAGTGCTTCACCACCCTGTTAGGGTTGGGAACTCATGGCTACAAAAATGATAAAATAATCCACCACAACATGCACGAATTGACACAACAAAGGCAGACGTAAACACAACACAGCACTGGTCTGGACGAAACAAAGCGGGAGACTGGCATGGGGACACGTGTGTGTGTGTGTGTGTGTGTGTGTGTGTGTGTGTGTGTGTGTGTGTGTGTGTGTGTGTGTATGCATGAGGCCAGGAAGAGGATGAAATTTCAAGTACTTCAGCTAAAAATCCGTAGATTTTATCGGGAGTTTTAAATCCGTAGATTTTATCCAGAGCTTTCAGAGTTTTTGAATGGTGAATACTCTTATAACAAGGACCTCCTGTAATTGTTTGAAAACCTTTCTTAATTTTGCTGAAATTTATCATTGTTTTATTATTAACCCCTCTGTGAAGAATAAAATCATTTGGCATTAACCAAATACAGTAGAATATTAAATGTGGCATCCCCGCAGTGACAGGGTTAAAGGTCTCTTGAAGCATAACATCAAACAAGATACAAGGTGAATGTGTATAGACTCACAAAATGTTTTATTAATTATTTATTAATTCATGATATATTTATGTAGGAAATGTGAAGTCTCTTATTAAAAGGATTATAAATCCCAGAAATGATGAAAGATTGGTTTTTGCTTTCCTTAAAAATTTATGTCATGAGTGATTCGCTTTGTACACACCAAAGGATGATAGTTACCTGACAGACTAATCAGCTTTGTTTACAAACTTAAACACCATCTCCTTTGTCATGTCTCCCTGTGGTAAATGTATATTTATTACTTTGAATTCCTGTTGACAGTGGGGAGACATCAATGCTCTAGTGATGCAGCAGAAGACCAAGAAGGGAACAGCATTAATTGACTTCAAAACCAAACAAGGAGCAGTAAGTCATGTCAGCTGTTTTGCTAATCTTTATTTTATACGTTATATTGAATTTTACTCATATTAGAAGCCATCATTTTGTCACAGAGTCAACCAATGTTTCGTTATTTTGCCATTCCTGCTTCATGTAGGGTTGCCAGAAATGAGCAAATACACTCAAAAAATTTCCTTTCCTTCAATAATTCATTCTTAAATTTTTGGCATTATGATAATACAATACTACAATAGGGTCTCAAATTATGCGAAGGTTACATTCCTGGGACCCCCGTGCCTTTGTGCGAATTCACATATTTTCACCCCCCCCCCTTGTATATATATATACTGTATGTGATATCTCTCTTAGCCAGAACAATTGGTGCAGAGTATTTCCGGGAACGAGACGACACTTTCAAAGCCGGAAAAAATCTCTCATCCCTGGAATTTTCCAGGTAATGGAATAATTTTCTCGGAAGTTCCAGAATGATGCGTTATTTCATTTCTTAAAGACAGAAAAGAAATCCCTCATCCCCGGAGTTTTCCAGGTAACGGAAAATGTTCTCGGAAGTTCCAGAAATCGTGCTTTACATCATCTGTCGAACCAGGAAAAATATCCCCCATCTCTGGAATTTTCTGGGTACCAGAAATTTTTCTCGGAATTTCCAGAAAATGTGCCTAATTTTCATCTCTCAAACCTGGAAAAAAAAAATCCCCCATCTCCAAAATTTTCTGGGTACTGGGAAAATTTTCTCAGAATTTTCCAGAAAATGTGCCCCTTGGAAAATCCTTCGCAAAGCCAGAATTTTCTGGAAAATTCTGGCTTTGGGAATGATTTTCCAAGAAAATTTCAATTCTGGCTATTGGAAACTTCCGGGTTTGAGGGATTCTGGCTAACGGAGATATTACTTGTATATGCAGGCAACTATCATACAGAGAGGTACTATACTGCTTGGGAAGATATTGGAAGCATAATATGTTGTCTAATGGTCTAATGGTAGACCCTGCTGCCATATGGAGTCACAAAAATTGTGACCATTTACACATAATTAAATTTTTTCTTACTTTGACAACACAACATATACAATCTCTCCTCGACTTACGACAGGGTTCCGTCCTGACGACCAGGTCGTAAGTCGAATTGGTTGTAAGTCGAAAAGGCGAAAATAATACATAGAAATTCTAAAGTGGTGTCTCATGTTTTGAGTTGTGTTCTTCGTATACTGTACATGTATGTATGTTTCAACAGCATCGTGAAAATAAAAATGATTTCTGGCAACATTAATGATAATTGTACTTTCTGTTTTTGGCTTTATTCAACTTTTCATGACATAGCAATAAATACTGTATGTAGAGTGAACTGGCAACTGTCTCCCCACATACACACACGTACACCTATGCTCTTCATTTTTTCTTTTTTATAATTTTATATTTTCTTTATTTCTAAATCACATTATAGTACAGGTATATATATATATAACCATGTACTTTTTGGGTGATTTAAGGAATTTTTAAGGGTAATTTTGAGAAAACACATTTTGGGGTTTACACACCTTCTTCAAAACTTGACCTCCGCATAAGATGCGATCATGCTGCACATATTTCTAATGGCATGGAACCACTTGATGCCACAGCATTGCATAATATGTGAAAACTTCTTGTGATCCTTGAGTTTAAAAAATTGACTTCTTTTACCTGATAGGCTTCATTTGAAGCAGGAAAGCCCAGATTTGTGGCAAATACTCAACAGTAACAGTATTGTATCCAAACCTTGACTTACATTCTGTTATGAAACCAATGTGTACCCTTTAACCAGGCAGATCTCATAATACAGGCTACATACTGGGGATTCTTTGTCAGTAGACAGCCTCCCATAAAGCCAGTCAGTTGAGTCAAGTTTCTTTCCTTCTATCACACCCATCACCTCACATTAGGGAGGTCAGTTGTAATAATTATCCACAAGATACAGGTCAATTTAGAGCAGTGTCTGACAGACAAGTACATTTCATGTTGACATCATAGTTATGCCCTCATTTGTTCCTGGTCAAACTGCCATTTTTTTTATTAAATTCCTAGCTGAGAACTATCAAAAGTAAATAACTCAAATTGTCTTTACCTTGGGCTGCTTGTTTCTACAGAAGTGTCGAGCCCAGGAATTAAAAAAATTTGGGTGTTATATTTACCTAAAACTAGGATTTAGGCACATGTGTTGTTTTATTGGGATTAGTTTACATGATTTGCAGCTCAGCAATGGGTGGTCACTGAGTTTATAGTGGGACCAACATCACTCAATGCCATGTTCTGAGTTCCTGGCACAGTAACTCTCTATAGCTTAAAGCAGTACTTCATTTTTGTTTTAGATGAGGGATCTGGCCAAACTATGATTCTATTCCAGTTCCTTGGATAATATATTTTGTAATGAGATTTCAGTAAAGTTCCATTTTGGAGATTTATACAGTACTGTATTGGTTATCCCGCCTTAGGGATATTCAGATCTACACTTGATACACATTCACATTCACTTTTGATGGATTGTTCAGGGTGCAAGTTCATGGACTTTTTCCTTCCCTGTTCAATGCATAGGTTTAGGAAGGATAAATTTGAAGGTTCTACTGCCCAAATACTCTTTGAGAATTTTTTAGATACTGTAATGGATTCTAATTGTGGATTCTTGCCAGAGGTCATTATAATGAGTCTTGGAAATTTATGTTAGTGTTATTACTGGTTAAATATGTGCTACCTCAGTAGGTTTCTCTCATTCAGGAGCCAACTTTTATCAGGTCAAACAAAGAGATTATGAGTAATTTATGCTACAGTATTTACTATTTTAGGTGAAATTACAGAATGTCAAGCCCTTGCCAAGGGGTTTCATCTTTGATTATTTCATAATACACTATGCCCTCATTAATTCAACAAAAAGGGGGCTCTGGATCACTTGAATTACCTGAAAATCAGAATAAACAGAGTTCAAAATATTTTTATATTATTCAACAATTTCTGCCCCACCTCGTGGGAACCGCCATGTAGTGATGAGGAGGGGAGCTTGAGGTTTGCCCTCCCTCCTCAAGTAGGAAAGGGCTTCCCCACCTAAGCCTTTATTGTAATTCGGCGCTATATGACCTAAGCTGTTGCGTCGCCGGGGATGTAAGGATGTAATTACCACAATCACTCACTCAATCAATCAATCCATACTGGAAGGGTCATCAGGGAGGGATGAGACTAAATGGTTCTCTTGAGCTGCCGGCCTTGAGAGCTGGCTAGTGGCACCTTTCCAAGCGGCCCAGTCCACAAGGGCTGGAGAGTAGCTCTCCCACATGTTTGTCGTATGTGGCGACCTTTAAGGCTGGAAGACAGGAATCCTGGAGGTTGAGCGATGTTGCACGCTGTGCCCTATGGCTAGCAATGCACCTCTTTGGTCTCTGAAGTCAATTGGCTGGTCAATGTGGCTGGCCTCTGGGCCAGTCATTTGGCTATGGTCAAGCAGGCATCACAAAATCGACTCTCCATTTAGTCCCATGGGTGTCATCAGATTTAGTGGTTGCCTGCATATACTGTACCTCTCCACTACCCTTGGGATTATTATGTGACCTCTCCTTGTTGGGCTCTGTGGTGGGGAGGTGAAAACTTAGTAATAATTTTTATGGCATCCATTCCCAGCCTGACTCCAACCGTAATGACCCCGGCTTGTCAGTGAACAAATCTCCTGGAACGCCTTCTTTAGTGATCACTCTGGAGCTTTCTGTACCCAGCAGTGGCCAACATTCTCGCCAGCATGAGGGACGTCCTTCTTGGCAGACTGCTGTCAAGAGAGAGACCCTACCTGGTGTCTTTGAACCTGACTCATATGATAAATATTTAGTCTTATCATCAAGTGAGATTAATCTAAAAGACCAGAATATTTTTGAGACGTACTGAGATATTGTACAAATATATGGATCTGCACCAAAAGTTGTGCCCCAAGCAGATGGGGACCTTTGCGTGGAGATGTCATCATCGAAGATGAGTAATAAACTTAAGACTGTTAAATGTATTGCTGGAACTACAGTGTCTTGCTCCCCACACAGCAGTATGAACCAGACTCCTGCAGTCTCTCTTGTCAGGTTCCTAACTCTAATGTCTTATCTTAGAATCTCTCCCCATGTCATTCTTGGCCTACCCCTGGTTCTCCCCTCTCCACATTTAGGCTTATGCACCTCTTGACCCAATTGGTCTCATCTATTCTCTTGACATACTCATACCATCATGGCTTGCTTCTACACAAGACTTTGCCAACACTTTCAATACCCAACCACACTCTTAGCTCTGAACAAGGCTTCTTCTCTTTCAGAGTCACTTCACACATCCACCTCACCATTCTCATTTCAGCTCACTCAAGTCTACTTTTGTCATCCTCTTTAACTGTCCATGTTTCTCTGCCATACAATATCACACTTCTCTCACCAGCCACATAAGCTCTTCCTGTAACTCGGAGGGAACGTCCTCTTGCTGTCAATAAAGGCAGTCGCTCCTAAACTTCCTTCAGCCACTTCTGACTCTTGTATCTGAACAGGCTTCAGCATCCCCACTGGCACTAATCATGTAACATAGGTAACAAAACTCATTGACACAGTCGAGTGACACGTCGCCCAATGTTGAGTTTCTCCGGCTTTGCTGTGGGCACATGGATACCTGCACATACAGAACATTCCACAGTCTGACATCTAATCCACTGCATCTCTTGTGTACCTACCTACCTTCCACACTCGTTGCACATTATTGAGTTGCTACTAACACCTTTCCTGCAGACAGCACATGACCATTTTCCATTTTCCACCATGGGTCCCTCACCCACACCACTAATCAATGTTTATGTTTTTGCCACATTCACTCTCTGGCCCTTTGACTATTCCATCCTTCCATTTTTAAAATTTCTTCTCTGCATTGTCAACACCCTCTGCTATCAGCACTAAGTCATAAGCATACAGCAACTCTCAGGGCAGAACAGTCCTATAATCTCACATTACCTCCGGCACCATGAAAAACAGAAAG